CTTCATCGAGAGCAAAGTCAATGTTCAGCTTTTTGAACTCTTCCGTCACTGCAAATCCCTTCATTCCATTAATGTGTCCAATCTCCTCATCTGGCCCCCAAACGATGTGAATCGTACGAGTCCATTGTTTAACACCTTCGGCGAACCAATTCCTCACCGGTTCCATGTATTGCATTCGCCCATTTTTCCTCCCAGATGGTTCTTCCCACTTTTTCTTTTCCTCCCAGTTGGTGTGCTCTCTTTTTGGGGGATACTGTAACCTATGTTAGTACACACACACACTTAATCCTACGATAACTTGCGGAGCAAAATTTTTCCGTCGTGGTTTTTTTTAAATAGTCTTAAAACTTCTCATTTAAAGACTTTTCATTACTACTCCGACCAAAATCTTTTTTTTTCCTCATAATTCAGAATCAAAATCATTATTTTTGCAGATGTTGAGCATTCCAAGGACTCCGGGACGGGCTCCTCGTTTCAACTCGAGTGGAATGCATACGCCAAATGTTAGTTTAGTTAAACTTCTGAATAGCTGAATATGTATTTTTTCAGTTCAAGATTCAGAAACATTCGACACCTATGCCCTATGATCATTTCCTACATGCCGCTGTCTCCCTCAAACAGCACATCGTCTTCGGAGAGCAATCACACCGTCCCATTGCAACGCCAGACAAAGCACAAATGTTCGCACCAGCGCATACTTCAACACCAGCAACGGTTCGGTCAGGACTTTTGCCCCCATGGGAAGTTCAGAAGACAAATGCAGTCAGAGATCGGCTTCCAAGCACTATTGGATTCGACAAAGAAGAAGAACTGAGCCTTGATACGTCGCCCGAGTCGGAACATCGTCCAGCATCAGTTCCACTTGTCAACAGAGCATTGTTCCGATCAGAGATTCCAGCACGTCCCAAAACTGCGGAGCCAGTTGAACTTCGAAAGGCTGGCAACCAACCTGGCTCACCATCAGTAGGTTTCGTGATTCATTTGGTAGTTCTTAAATCTATTTTTTCAGCGCAAGCGAAATATGAAGCTGACTCTCGCAAAGACGCCGTATTGTGCGAGACCAACTAAATCGTGGCTCAATCGAATCAAGGCCCCTCGCGACGACTAATGGAATGGATTATAATTCCTTTTATGGCCTGTAAATATTTTATTTTCCTGTAAATAGTTCACTTTTAATAGTTTATTTACAAACTAACTTTTTATATTTATAGCTTTTTATATTTATAGCATGTGAATAAATGAATGGATTCGGTTAATAAGGTACAAATTCTTTTATTATTAACAATTTAATAAGTTAAAACTCGTCTTTCTTCTTGGAATTTCGAGAGTTGACTTCATTTTTCACTCTGCTCAATTTCCGGTTTACACTGGCGATTTGGTTGTCGACTTCTCGAAGAGATATGCTCATTTTTAGCACTGTATTCTTATCATTTTTGTTCCTTCGAATTCCGTCGTTCAATTTTCTTTGCTTCCCCAGCAACTGTTTCAGCTCTGATTCCAGATCGAGTTTTTTAGAGCCGAGAGCTTTTGAAGTGTATCCAGCCATTTCCTCTTTCTCTTTCCGTACATCTGCCATTGTTCGCTCGGATTTTGTCTCCAATTTTCGGTTGATGAACGCAAAAATGTCTTTTTCGGATTCGTCGGACGTTTTCAGAATCTTAATTCGTTTCGATTTATCCTTTCCGTCAACAACTCTCCGTTTGCGTGTCATCACTTCGTCAAGGGAAGCATCTGAAATCAATTCTATAGGAGAAAACCAATCTCTGTAATAATTTATTTACTTTTCGCACAGATTCTTGCTTGAATAGCATGCACAATCCCATCACTTCGTTTTCCTAGACCTTCGCCAACCTTGTATCCCATCTTAGCCATCAGTTTCATCCCGATTCCCCCACCATTCCAATTTCCTGACTCTCCAACTGATACGTTTCCAAGTGTCTCTTTTTTTAGCTCTTTCCACGATTCGTCTTTCTTTACTTCCTCTTCGATTTCTCCCAATGGAACCAAGTCTTTCCGTTTTGACGATACCTCACTTCCACTTTTCAATAACTTTACTGCAACGTTCTGTCCATCGATCGCACTGATTCTTCCTATTTCCCAAAGTTCTGAAGAACCTTTGACTAGTACAAGACCTTGCTCTACAATCGACATAAAATCCGGCTCTTGATAATCTTCGATTCTTTCCAATTCTACTGAATAGCCATGACTGAACCGACAATTCTCATTGTATCGACAAGTGGATGCCAAAAAATGGGAACATGGTTTCATTGCTGGGCAAGTTGGATGAGAGAAAAGAACACGGACACGGCTAGAAGATTCGATATGCATTATGATGGCTGTGTGGAGAGGAAGTGAGCGATCGGAATCGAATGGTGCCATGCATCTCGAGCCAAGAAGAGTGTCTGAAAATTGTGAAATCCGATAGGCTTTCAAAATAGGCGGCCGCCGTCCGAATTCGTGCATTTGCGTACGCAAACATTTTGTAACTCACAAAATTAAAAAATGCGTCGTAAAATAAAATGGTGCGTACGCAAACACTCTCTAAAAGGTTGACGAGCAAATGCACGAACGGCGCTCCGACAGAACTCGAAAGAAATTGGAATACCTGTCGAGTTATCGTCTTCTATTCTTTCTTCAACCGCTTCTTTTTCTTTTTCTTCCTTCGCATTTTCACTGGTCCCTTCTTGTGATTCTTCGTCTTCTTCCATCAGCTCTACAAGCTCTAGGAGATCTGATTTTGTTTGTTCTAAGTCTCTCCTAGCGACATCATCCTTCTCCTCTGCTAATAAATTGTCTATTTGAATGATTTTTGAGATCCTCAATTTCAGACATTTATAGATTCTAGAAAATTAAACATTTTAAACCTTACTGTTTCGCTGTAATAAATCACCAAAAATAATATTACAGATGTCATTATTTACATGTTCGAATGTTCTAGGGGAAAATAACAATCAAAATTGTTTTATTAGTTACACAGTCAGCTAACAGAAGCACTAAAACTACAAAATTATGTGCGTTTTTGAGAGCTCACAACCATTACAGAAGCCTGGGGAAAATGGGAGAAATACGGGAGAAATGAGACTGGGAAAGTATATAGTAATAAAGTAAAATAGAGATACAAGTTAAAGCATATATTAACAGAACGAAGGGAAAAGGGAGTAGAGGAATCGGAATGACTAGAGAGCGATTCCATTGAGATTCACATGGAATGAGTGGGGAGCAGCAGCAGGTACATCAAGATTACAGTAATCCAGTCTTGGATAGCTCGGACTTTAACAAATTGAAAATATCCAATTGTTCGTTTGGCTCAAGTGTCATGATTTGTTTGATGAGTTTGGAAGCGTCTGGAACTCGAATGAAGCTGTGGATGTAAACCATAACGAATGTTCCCATCAGAAGTTGGCAATCAAATCGATCCATCAATCCTCCATGTCCTGGGATCACATCTCCAAAGTCCTAAAATGAAAATTGTTTTTTCGAATTCTAGTTTTCTGTTTCCTACCTTAATCTTGAAAGCTCTCTTGAATCCACTAGCAAAGAATCCACCGAACGGTCCTAAAATCGAGGCGAATAAGCTCAGCGCAATACTGTGAAAAACGAATGGACACAGCTGGACAGCTGGTTCTTTGCGGAGAATTTTGTAGATGAAGGAGAATGGACGTGGAACTGGGTAGTCTTGAAGTTGGAATGCCAATGGGATCGTGCAGTTGGAGCTATCAGTTTGATAGTGTTGGACCGGGCACACGAAAAATGGACGGTTGTAGAGAGCAAGAGAAAGCTGAAATCAAAAAAGATAAAAATGCAAAAAGGTTCTGAAACTACTCACCAGAATCCCGAAAATAACGGTAGAGAAAGCTCCTCCAATGAATCCTTCCCACGTCTTCTTTGGTGATAATTTGATTAACGGCGTCTTTCCCCAGAAGAATCCGAACATGTACGACATCACATCACAACAAATGATCATTGCGACCGGGGCGAGGAACCAGATAAGACCTTGGAAGATGTTTTGGATGATGAAGAACGATTGACTGACGATGAGCAGAAGAGTTAGATGTGTCCAGGCGAACTGAGAAAATGATTTATGCACTTTTGATTTGAAAATGATTCTTACCAGTGAGAACTGTCTCATGTAGTAACCCTTACGAAGGGACAGCACAAACGAAACGAATCCAATGCAGTAAAGAGCAAAAGAGACGAGGCGATGGTAGGCAACTAGGAAGTGTAGGAAATTCTGGAAATTTGAATTTAAAATTGAAATTTGAAAGGAGCACTTACATCTTTTTTGAGCACAATTCCCCAGTAGTCAATGAGACTTTCACCGAAGAAAAAGTAGTTGCTGGTGAGCAAAAAGTACCAAGAGAGAGCACGGAACCATGGGAAATCATAGAGACGGTAGACGGCGAGTCCGATTGAAATGATTTCTTGGAAGCATTTGAATTGGATTAGGAACACCTGAATTTATCGTTGAAGCGTTTGCAAACACAAAAGTTTAGACTATTATCCGTGAACAGGGCGACCACAGTACGATAAGACCGTTTGAGACATAACTGTACGAATTTTGTGTTACTGGACTTTTTAGTAGAAACCACAGTTTTCGATTTCGAAATTCAGTGAATCATCATCAAATACTTTTGAAAATGTTGGTAGAGCTAAAAATTTGTTTTTCGAACCATTACGGTAGACGGAGGTTCGCATTGCGGAAAAAAGCTTTTTTCCTACCGATTTCTACAGTGAATCATCATAAAATACTCACCAAGAACATGAGCCATGTGGCACCTCGGTTGACGATAAAAGTGAATGTTGAGATCATGATAACTGTGAAAAGGCCTCGAACAACCCAATTCCTCCACCGTGGCGGTAGCGATTCAAGCATAGAATCGGCGAACTCTCCGAGACTTCCCTTATCCTGTGGAATTGACTTTGTTAGTCGTTCCAGTCTGAAAATATTTATATGATTTTGTTTATATTTTCATTATTCTTCTATTTTTCACATATTCAACTATACATCACAACACAACAATACGATGACTTACTCGTCTTTTTTGTTCTCTTTCAAGCCAGCATCACTAGAAAACGTCAGTTAGAAACAGTAATATATTTTCAACCCTTTTTGTATATCTCACCTATCATCATCCTGCATCAATGCATCCATATCACTTTCATCGCTTGTCGGTCGAACATCGTCCCTTTCTGGAGCCTTCAGATGTTTCTTTTCTTCTGGTGAATCCGGTACCCTTCGCTGCCGAACTTCGGCGGTTTGTTCTTCCCCCGGCTGATCGGACATCTGCGAAATTTAGAGTTAGAAATAATAACAAAATCTATAGATTAAACTAGGCGAGAGGAATTCAAAACTAACAAAAAAGGTTTCAAAAAATCTGGGCATAAAAGGGAGGAGTAGACCCAAATAGTGTGGAGAGGAGTAGGACGAGAAAGAGTAACACGAGGGTAAACAAGACTAGTGGCATTTTAAGAGAGACGTAAGAGATACGTGGTAGGAAAGAGTGGGCGTCGGTGGTGAAGCGCAGGCGTCTAGACACGAGGAGCGCGAGAGGACAGACTGATTTGATCGTGTGCGCATGGCACCAGAGTGAGACGAGACAGAAATATGACATTGATGTTTTTGTTTAAAAGCGGCACATAGAAATTCTATAAAATAATTTTTTAAAATAAAAATGTTATAATAAGTCGGTTTTGTAGGGCCAGAGATGTCCGGAAAAGAATTCAGTACTCTGAAGCTTTTTTCCGAAATCAAATTCCGAATTTTTTCAGAATTTGAGCTTTTTGGACTACGGAATGTCAAAGGTGCATGCAAAGAGCTTTCTTGCGGGTCTCGAGCGGAATTATTTACTTTTAGTTTTTTCTGCGGATTCGAAATTTGTTTGTCAATTTTTCTCGCATTTTTCGATGGGAAAGTGTAATTTTTGCTTCAAAATTTGAGTTTTAATAAAATTCCAAAATTTAAACAATCGGAATCTTCCAAAATTTATTTTTGAAACTCGGAATTTTTGACATTCCGAACGGCTCTATTGGATTATTTCCAAAAAGCTAAAGAAATCACATTTTAAAAAAAAATTCAATTCGAACTTCGAAGTGTTGATTTTATTCTTCCAATATTAATTTTCAACAGCGATAAGACCTCGTGCCAAGAAGCGATTTTGTAAACATAAAATGTTTTATTATCCTTGTCTGAGAAAAAAAAGGTTGAGACGCAGAGAAAAAGTGTCTGTGTATCCACCTTATGTGTGCTATTTAGGCTCTCCGCTTCGATATCGCTAACGTATTCAGACTGCAAAAAATACTCTCTAACCTTTTTTTTCTCAGACAAGCATAATATTTAAATAGATGACCTCGAAAAATGAAAAACATGAGATTGTGTGGGAGGAAACATGGAGACAAAACAGCTGTTTCAAGCAAAGCGAAGAGCTCAAAGACCTCGAGCCCATTATCAGAAAAATTTTATATGAAAATCAACTTTTTAAAATTTGGGCTCAAAAAGTAAATGCGATGCGTAAAAAAGAAATCACAAACTAGACTTGTGTATATACTGCGAAGAATATTTACACAATCATTAGAGAGATAGAGATGCGAAAAAAGAAGAGCCAAGCGGAAGAAGGAGATAGAAGTGTGAGGAGCACACGGCAGGAAAAAACGGAGAAGCTCTTCGAAGTTGCTAGTTGCCAATAGGAATGGATCACGCAAGGACTTTTAGGGCTGACTAAAAGTCGGTGAAGGGAGAAAAGGAAAATGAAAGCCTAATGAAAAAATTGATGTAAAAGAAGGGAAGGAAAGGGGAAATAGGGGAGAATGCTTGAGTGCTCAACGACAATTACAATGGATAGATTGTGACTGCCACTGGAAAAAAAGCAGGAAAAAATGAATCTGAATGCATTTTATCAAAAAAAAATGCAGGACAAACGCTTGAACGAAGCTTTTTGTAACATCGAAAAAAGTATGAAAATTCATTTGTAGTTTTAAATCGAGTTTTATGAATTTAGCTTGAAAGAAAAGAAAAAAAACAAGAAAAAGAAGAAAGCCCCGTAAATCGACACTAAAGGCGCATACAGTAATTTCGTTAAATGTTTCTCGCAGCGACTACAGTAATTCCCATACAAGTGAATAATTGTTCTGAAAAAGATGAATATCTGAAAAAACATGGATCGAAAAATTTGTAGCGATAATAAACTGTAAACAGCGGAAAATAAACTTTGAGATACTTTTCTGGTACAAAAAATCGTGGCTGGAAGAGAAAGGGCAATGACGGAAGGTACCACAACGACAGCTACCGTAACCTAAAATATTTTCATTTTTTGGATTCGGGGGTACGACGAATTCGAACGTTTTCAAATTCGAACAGACCTAAAATCGAACTGATTCAATTCAGAACAGTCCTTTTTTCGCACACGTACCAGAACAGAACGCGGACAGAATCGAACTGTTACAAGTTCGAACGCTACCTGCAACAGAGCGCGCATGAAAGCACACACAAAACAGCGTTCCAA